TCTGCTAAGACCCTGGGAGCACATTGAGGCTCTGCTTTGACTTGGGGATGGGCAGATGCCTGTCATGTTATGGGTATGGAATTGGTGAACTTTGAACTTTGTGCCAGAGGATTAAGAAGGCAAACAGAGAGAGAAGCAAGCCCAGGGCCTGTGATTCAGGGTCCCCTTTAGTGGTTTTAGAGCAGAGGTCGGAAGACGGAACAGGAGGGGATTGTGACGCATGACTCACGGGGCTGTATGGGCATGGTGGCAGATGTCCCAAGGCAAGCAGCAGAGAGAAAGGGAGCTTGCGGGGACAGTGGGCATTTTTATTCTGACCTGGGGTGTGTTTTATATTATTATTTTAAGTGTGTGTGTGTGTTGTGTGCATGTGAGTGCTGGTGTCTCTGGAGGATAAAAGAGGATGTTGGATTCCCTTAGCTGAAGTTAGAGGTGACTGTAAGTTTCCCCTACTTGGATGTGAGGAATGGAACTCAGGTCTTCTGCAAGAGAAGCAAGTGCTGTTAACCACGGAGCCGTCTCTCCAGACCCGGGGCTTACTTTAAATGAGATGATGAATACTGTGGGTATCAGACAGGCCCGCTTTGTGGGCACAAGAGTGTTTTCATCCATTAGCTAAAAAAAAAGAAAAAAGAAAAAAAGAAAAAGAATGAAGGTTTCTTATTTTCTCATTTAATCATTTTTCATTCATTCACTCAGGCACGATCTTACGGAGCCCATGCTGGCTTTCAAATCACTGAGATCCCCCTGCCTCTGCCTCCTGAGTGTTGGGATTAAAGATGTGTGTCACCATGCCCACCTAAAATTTTGTTGTTAAAAAGGCAGGGACCGGCCGTATAGTCTAGGCTGGTCTTGCACTTCCTGACTGCTGGCATTACAGGTGTGCCCCGTCCCCGCAGCCCCTCCCCCTCCCCCACCTTCTCACCCCCCCCCCCACAACCCGTCCCCCTCCCCCTCCTCCTCCCCTCCTCAAACTCTCCACACCCTGTCCTTGGTGTTATATAACAGTTTCCTTAGAGGTTAAAGCATTCCATCCCTGTAGGAAGATAAACAACTCAAAATAGCTTCAGGAAGTCCCAGAAATTGATCAGACTCACTAGGTCCCTCCCTCCAAAAGTAAACTGTAAAAGCTGAGAGGCCACCTCAGGGTGAACCAAGCCGGCCACACAGAAGACCCAGCACCCGGGACTTGCTGCTGGGAGGAGACAGAGACCTGGCCTGCCTGGGGGAAGGGAGCTCTCCCACCTGCCCAGCGGCCTCCAGCTGTGCAGTGTGAGCCCCAGGCTCTGTGAGCAGTCAACCATGCCCGGGTGGACTTTGGAGATGCAGCTGTCTGAGTCAGTTTCGCTCTTTGTAAGTGACCCTTCACCATCTTCCTCTAAGTAACCCCGATCCATAACCTCCTGGTTCACCAGGTTGGACTTTGGTGGGATCCGCACTTGGGGGGCTTTGGACTCCCTATTTGGGGTGAGCAGATGTGTGTGTGTTGCATCTCCCCAGGAAAGGCTCTTGTCACACAACACCTGGCATCTGTGACAGTTCCTGAATCTACTTGCTGTGCTATCCTGAGAGAGCGATTAGGGACTGCGCTGTGAGTTGGTGCCTGCACCCGCCTCCACAGGGGCATCTGCCCTGGCCAGAGCACTCGCTGCCTTCCCTGGACGCAATGACTGGAAAAGGCCTTGGCACCGTCAGGCACTGGTGTAGACTGTCATTTTTTTTTTTTTTTGGTTACATGACAACTTCCCTATTGGGTTTTGAGGAGAAAGGGTTAACTTTTCCTTGGTCCCAAGACATTAGGAAACTCCCCGTGGACATGGTGCTTGAATACAAACGATGACATTCCAAAGATTTCTTTTGGGAAGCACACTGCTTTTATTTAAGGACACGGCTTGCTATTTGAAAAAACAAGTCTGATGTTCTTATTATTGTCGTGACAGCAGACAAAGGTCCCAGAGACGACACTGAGAAAATAAAGCAACATACAACATGTTAACCTTTGCAGTAAACCTGTTTGTACTGTATATGAGCGATAGGGGAGCCATTTGTATTGTAAAGATGGATAAGCTGGGCATAATGGCTGTTGTGGTCAGTCCTGTCAACTCGACGCTGGAGCACCTGCGAGAGGGAACCTCAGCTGAGGAGTCCCCTTCATTAGACTGGCCCATGGGATGTCTGTGGGACATTTCCTGTATCAGTGATTGATGTGGGAGGGCCCAGCCAGTAGGTGCTGTGTGTTTTAAGAAAGCATACATACTGAGGGGCTGGAGAGATGACTCAGTGGTTAAGAGCACTGGCTGGTTTTCCAGAGGACCCGAGTTCAATTCCCAGCAACCACATGGCAGTCCACAACTGTCTGTAGCTCCAGATCCAGGGGACCCAACACCGGTGGCAGAGCAACAATGTATGTAAAATAAAAATAAATGAAAAAAAAAGAGAGAGCATACCGAACAAGCCACAGAGGGAGTGTGGGCCAGCAAGCCTCCCTCCTCCATGGCCTCCGCTCCAGCTCCTGGCTCCAGGTCCCTGCCCCAGCTCCCCTCAGTGGCGGGCTGTGACCTGGGAGTGTAGATGGTTAAGCCTTCTTCTCCCTACATTGCTTTTGTTCCTGGTGTCCGTCACAGGGGTAGGGACTCACGTTTGAGGCCAGCCTGGGCTACATAACAAGACCTTGCCTTAAAAAAAAAAGACAAAACTAATAAATATGTAAATCAGCCGAATAAGATAGAGATGAGCAATCTGCAGCGATTAATACTGTAGCGGTGCTTTTGTTTCTGAGTAGTTCCTGGAGACACATGCATGGAGAGATCAGAAGACAATCCTGGACATACTTAAAAAAAAAAGCCTCGTGGTGGAGTGAGGAGGCTGCTTTGCTGTGGTAAAATGTCCAAGGCCAGTGTTGAGTGTCCAGAGCCCCGTCCATCTCTGCCTGAGACCGGCTGAGAACGGGAGAGCTGTGACCTCAGCTTGGGTGGTGTATCCTGGCTGGGTGGAAAGGAGCTGCCGAGGTTGGGAAAGTGAGTCTTTAGGCCAGTGCTCGTCACAAGTAAGGGTATGGGGTCATCAGTGGAAAACAGTGGAGATTGTCTTGTTTGTTTGTTTGTTTTTTCGAGACAGGGTTTCTCTGTGGCTTTGGAGGCTGTCCTGGAACTCGCTCTGTAGACCATGTTGGCCTCGAACTCACAGAGATCCGCCTGCCTCTGCCTCCCGAGTGCTGGGATTAAAGGTGTGCGCCACCAACGCCCGGCGAGATTGTCTTATGTAGAAGGATTCCAGCAGAGTTGAGCCAGAAGGAGCGTTCTCATGGTGACAGTGTGTGTGTGTGTGTGTGTGTGTGTGTGTGTGTGTGTGTGTGTGTGTGTGTGTGTGTGTGTGTGTGTAGTTCAGAGGACAACCTGGCAGAGGAAGTTTTCTCTTTCCACTGTGTGTGTCCAGGGGATGGAACTCAGGTCCTCAGGACTGGCAATGAGAACTGAGACAACTGACCAGCTCTGTTTATTACTGTTTGTTCTTGAGAGCCGGTTGCATGTAGCCCAGGCTGGCCTCAAACTCACCGTGTAGTTAAGAATGACCTTAAACTTGTGATCGCCCTTCACTCCTGAAATCCTGGTGTTAACACCGCCACACCTGGTTTATGTTGTACTGGGGATCTAGTCTAGGGAGCCCTGCGTGCCAGCCGCACAGTCAGCTCCCCGAGCCGGAGCCCAGTGGCCATTACACACCAGCGTGTGGCGCATGCTGGTGACCCTCCGCAGGTTTCCTTCTGGACATCATCCACGCTGCTTGGCTGGTTTCTGGAGTGATGGAGCCTGCATTAGGGACATTCTTGTCCTTTTCTGTGACCCAGGGGTGGAGAGCTTGACGGTAGAGCTGTGAAGTCATGGCCAAGTCAGAGCCAGTCAGGAACCGTGTTAGCAAAGGTTCCTCCGCAGCCCCAAGAGAACAGATACAGTGAGAAATTTGTCAACACTGAGTGCTGGGAGGGCGTGGAATGTGTCCCACGGCCCCCCGCATAAAGAACAGCCGGGGCTGGTGTGGCGGCGCATGCTTGAATCCAAGTACTGTGGAGACAGGGTTAGGACGATCTTTAGTTCTGTCTGTGCGATCTACCTTGTGAGTCCCAGGCCAGCCTGGGCTTCACGTTAGGCCCTGACTCTAAGAAAGAACAAAAGCGTCGGCCGCTCGGGAACCTCTTAATAGTTCTAAAGTTGAGTGTACCCTGGCATCCAGTGGCGCACTGGTCCTGAGCATCTCCTAACAGGAGCAGGTGCTTGTACCTACGTCATGGCTGCTTTACTCTGGAGATCCCCTCCCCCAAACTAAAGCCCCACACACCCTTCAGAGGGTGACTACAGGAGCAAGCAGTGTGTTGGCGTAGCCAGGAAAAGGAATGAAGCTTTGAATGCATTCAACAAACACGTGGATGTTGCAGACAAGATGTTGAGCAAAAGAGGCTGGACGTACAAATCCGAGCTGGAGGATTTCACAGGAGGCACCATTGTTTTCACACTGCTGGAGGCCAGAAATGTGGGTGTGTTACATTACGTAGCGGGCAAAGGGGTGTTGCCCTGTAGGATGTCATTAAAGCCTGTAAGGTGGTTCCAGCTAATCTGTCAGCTCTCAGGTGGGAACCGAAGGTGAAGGTCGCCAAGCCTGAGGCCTGAGTTCTGTCCCCGGCACCCCAACTTTCGGGGAGAGAGCCAACTCCCAAAACTGTCCTCTGGCCTCCATGCATGTGCTGTGGCAGGCACAAACACACTCTTACCCACAGTTGCACACAAACTCACACACAGCTTCACCCAGTCATACACACAAACTCACACACAGTCACACACACAAATGTCTTACACACATCCTTCCTCACACACTCTTACCCATAGTCTCTCTCACACATACACACTCTCACACACATTCTCATTCCCTCCTTCCCTCCCTCCGTCTCCCCCCCCCCCCCCACAGAGTTTGACAGATGGCCCCTAAGGCAGCTGTTATCCAATCTCTGGGGTGGGTAATGGACCTTAAGTGTTTATTCTTTCTTTCCTGTCTTCCCAGGGCATTTTGTTCTTGTGACTCAGGGCACTTGGGCTCCAGAATTTAAAGGAGAATGACAGAAATCTCAGGAATTAAGGCCACCTTTTTTTTTTCTTTCTTTCTTTCTTTTTTTTTTTTTTTTTTTGCATCAGGAATTGAACTCAGAGCTTCAAGCCTGCTAAGCATACATGTAGTCTCCCATTGAGTCACCTCTTCAGCCCAGAATAACTGGTGCTTTTGGTGCAACACTTTGAAGACAGAAGACAACCCCATGGGGTGCAAAATAAAAAAAGCTTCATTCGTGACGGCGTCGGCATTGTTGTTTTTTGCTTTGGCTCAGTAGGAACCCAAGACAGAGCCAGGAAGAGTCCGAAAGACTCGAGAAAGAGCAGCGTGGCCTGGAAATGTGACCTAAAAAGAGAGAAAGGACAAGACTGGAAGGACAAAGACCAAAATAAAATGGCAGTGTTCGATGATGAGGCCGGCAGCGGCCTGTGAAGGGAGTCACCTGTGTTGGGCCCAGCAGCAGGTTCTGTTCAGTGCCTTAAATATTCCACAAGAGGAGACTGTTTCTCGAGCCCCTCCCACCCCTGTCCCCCAGACAGTCCACAGAAGGAGACCAAAGTGTCCAAAGTATTTATGATACTCTGTTTCTATGTGTAGCTCTGTAGACCAGGCTGGCCTTGAACTCACAGAGATCCGCCTGCCTCTGCCTCCTGAGTGCTGGGACTAAAGGTGTGCCGCTGTCACCACCACCCGGCTTAGTGTTTATGATATTCTTAAAGTAATGTAAACAAACGTTAGTAGTAGAAAAGCCAAGCCCAGGGCCTCACACGTGCCAGGCAGGAGCTCCCCTGCCCACGGATGATGTGTTTTTTCTTTTTAGTTTTTCTTTTTCAGTGTTAACTTGTGAGCTACCAGGATGCTACGCATCAAAACAGGAGCTTGTCAGGACTTGTGCAACTCACGCACGGAGTAACGGAGAGGGCGATACTAAGGTTTTAGCGAGAAAACACTGTTTGGTGGTTAATCTTTGCCTACCTTTTGGGTAGCTGTGTGATTGCTGTGGGTGTAATTACCTGGTAGACAGGGTGGAATCTGGTAATTTGTTAACCTAAAGACTGCATGTGTGCTATTGTGTGTTACGGAGTGTGGTTTTGCAAAGGTCTCTTTGTCTTTCTCTAGTGAGTAAGCCCTGTGTGTGCTGGATGCCTGTCTGGCAGTCAGGGTGTGTTGCCGTGGAGACAACCTCAGCACCACTAGGCATCCCCTCCTGTGTATTCCAGCCCGGGCTCCCCATCCCCTGCCTAGGTGCTGTATTTAGTTTCCAGAGTTTAACCACACAGGGCTAAGCCTCCCAGCCTGTCCGCCACGCTGCTCTGTTTACCTCCCAGCCCCTTCCCCTGGTCTGGAGTGCTTGTCCCCATAGCAATGCTCCCAGGGTTTGTGGGAAATGAGCCCTGGGCTGCCCCAGACCCATCACAGGGCTCCTGGAGGGAGCGTTCACTATGCCAGCAGGCCCTTGGGACTTCAGGCCTTTCCTAGTTAGTTAGGGATTCCCCCCTCCTTCCTTCCCTCCCTCCTTCCGTCTCTCCCTCCTTCCTTCCCTCCCTCTGCCTTTGTCTTTTCAGCTCTTTCAATTGCGTGTGACTGCCTTTGCATGTGTGCGTTGGGGGGCGGTCCTGGGCTGATGTCTGATGTGGTGTTGTATAGTCTGGGCAGTTTTTTTTCCTGCCTTTTTCGTCTTTAACTGGCAATGAAGACAGTTCTGAGCAAGACCCCCTAGACTGTCTCCGTGTCTTCCTCATTCTATGAATTAACAACTTTCGCTTACTCATCTATGTATGTGTGTATGTGTACGTGGAGGTTACATGGGCTCTTCCCTTCTGCCATGTAGGTCTCCGGGATCAAACTCAGGTCATTACATTAGGCTTGGTGAATGCTCTTACCCGCTGAGCCATCTGGAGGACATCCTGCCTTTTCTTCTTCTTCTTTTTTTTTTTTTTTTTCCTGAGATATGGTTTCTCTGTGTAGCCCTGGCTTAGAACTCGAATTGTAGACCAGGCTGGCCTCGAACTCACAGAGATCTGACGGCTTCTGCCTCCGGAGAGTGGGGATTAAGGGCGTGCGCCACCACTGCTTTGCCTCATTTTCTGAGGCAGTCTCTCACTAACCCCGGTATCCCTGTCTCTGTGGGTGCTGGGAGTCAGAGGGGGGTGCTGTCGCCGCAGTCTCAGGAAGCTCGCACAGTACCCTCTGAGCCGTCCCCCAGTCCCGGGACTCCCCGTTCTTTACTTGAAGACGCGTTTGCAGTTATTTGGATCCGTCCTGTAACAGTTGCTTTGGGAAGTCGGCTATTTCAAGGAATCGACCCATTCATTCACCAGCGTGAGTAGCGGCTCCCTCTCGAGGGCCCCATCTTTGCAGTGCGCACCCCTCACGCTAGGGCTGCGCGGTGGATTCAGAGTCGTGGGGTCTGCGCACCGCAGAGCAGCTCAGGCAGGCGGTGGGCGTGGCTTCTGGGTGGGGGAGGGCTGGGCTCTCCCCTCCTCCCCCCGGAAGGATCTGCCGGGGAAGGAGGCGGATGCAATCACGTGGGGTGAGCTCATTAGTCCTGGGACACCAGCTGTGCTATTATTAGGGCGTTTAAAGTCCCGGACAGATGTTCTTAGGCGAGGTTCCAGCCGTGCTCATTTCCCGCATATGGCATGAGACACTATGTGGGCAGGAGGGCTTCATACAAGGAGACAGCGATCCCAGCAGACCGTGCCAGTTTTTTACCAGACTTTGCCCGCTCTTCCTGTTTGTCTTTCTCCCACTTCTTCCCCGTTTTCCGTCTTTCCGTCTGTCTTTCTCCCCCTCTCCTCTCCCACTTCATTTTCCAAGTTCTTTCTGCCCGCCCCCGCCCCGCCCCGCCCCGCCCCCTTCCGCAGGGCCCTTTTTATTAACCCTGTGTGGAACTTGGACGCTGAGACACAAACAATGTCTGTCCTGGATTAGCTGTGACCCTCAGCCTTGCACCGGCTGTGTCAGGTGTGCCGGGAGGTCTGGGGTCATCGTGGGCAGGAGCTGCTCTTTCCAGGAGCCTGGTTTGAACTGCACACTTAGCACAGTGGCAGGCTGAGAAGGGAGCTTGGGGCCCGTGTGACATCAGCTAGCTGGTCCCCTCTCCTGCTGCTGTTGCTCTGGGTCTCACTGGCCTCTGTCTGGGGACTATGATGTGACATAACCTGGCCACAGCCCCTTCTAAGCCCAGAATGGTGCCAACTTCTCTGTAGGCTCCAGCTTCTCCTTCTCCATAGGCTCCAGCTTCTCCTCCATAGGCTGCAGCTTCTCTGTAGGCTCCAGCTTCTCCTTCTCCATAGGCTCCAGCTTCTCCTCCATAGGCTGCAGCTTCTCTGTAGGCTCCAGCTTCTCCTTCTCCATAGGCTCCAGCTTCTCCTCCATAGGCTGCAGCTTCTCTGTAGGCTCCAGCTTCTCCTTCTCCATAGGCTCCAGCTTCTCCTCCATAGGCTGCAGCTTCTCTGTAGGCTCCAGCTTCTCCTTCTCCATAGATTCCAGCTTCTCTGTAGGCTCCAGCTTCTCCCCCATAGGCTCCAGCTTCTCGATAGGCGCTCCCTAACGTTTATTTCAAAGTTCATGAATTTTTATCAGTTTAAACTTCCAACTACGGCGACACTTCGGATCATACATAACTTAAGGAAGTGGCCTGTGCACAAATGAGTAGTATTTGTGACTAATTGTGGTCACAGCTGTCCGAAGGACGGCTGCAAGGAGAATTTCAAAGAAAAGTCAGTATATCTGGTTTAGAAAAATACTTAATGGATTAAAAAAATTGTTGAATTATTAAAACAAAATCAAAGATTTGGGGGAGAAAAAAAATCCTGAAACCTGACTGTGTGGTGAGCTGAATGGCTACTAAACCCAGCAACTGAACTTAGCGGTTCATTTCTTCTTATCTAACGTTTCCTGTGTCAGCATCGTAGAACACAAGGCCTCTGCCCACAGGTGCTTCCCCTCCTCTTAAAAGTCTGAGTTGAGCCACACTGCTCTTCCATAGGACCCACGGTTGGTTCCCAATACCCATGGGCGGGTGGTGGCTTAAAACCACCTTTGGCCCATTTTCAGGGGATCTAATACCCTCTTCTGGCCTCGATGAGCATGTACACACACACACACACACACACACACACACACACACACACACACACACACATATGCTGGTTCTGGCGTGCCTGCTCCTCAGAGTGGGGTGCTGCTAAACGGAGCCTGTGTACATTTGCCTCGTGGTGTGTGCGCACTTACGTCAGAAGTGTATGCTTTTCTTCATTTCACCTCTGCAAAGTGGGTAATCACCCACGGTTGGAGCCAGGGGATTGCTGGCAGTGAGGAGAAGGTACAGGATGGCCCGGGGAGTGGCAGGCAGGCAGGTGCAGGTGTCTCTGGGGAGGTTGGGGCGAGCAGAGACTGAATAATGGGAATGAGTCATGGGAAGCGTGCAGGCAGAGGTTCCCAGGCTCAGCAAGCAGCAAGTGCAGCAATTGATTGGGAGGGGACACTGTGGCTGAGGCCTGGAGCCCCTAGGGAGGTGAGGTGGAGGCGGAGGGACCTGGTGGTGGGTAGGGCACCCTGCATCCCATCTCCGACGCCGGTCGAGGAATTTCAGCAGTGATCAGAGCACGATAGGAAGCCGCTCAGGGTAGCCACATGCCCCCTGTTGCTATGGAGAGCCAGGAGCGTGAGGCAGGCACAGGCCCTAGGAGGGGCCCAGAGGGAGGTGACCCTGGAGGTTGTGGGGACTTGGGGCACCTGGCTATGGACATTGAGGGTCTGGCATCAGGGCCGGATCCGTGTACCTTCCTAACGGAGTGTGTGACGTCAGGTTGTGCTTACCTTTGGTGCCAGTGGGGTTTTTTTTTTTTTTTTGGTTTTTCGAGACAGGGTTTCTCTGTTTTGGAGGCTGTTGGTCCAGCCTGGCCTCGAACTCACAGAGATCCGCCTGCCTCTGCCTCCCGAGTGCTGGGATTAAAGGCGTGTGCCACCAACGCCCGGCGGTGCCGGTGGTTTGACAGTAGATGGTCTGTGTCATCGCTGACCAGGCGTTTAGCAAAGGATGCATCTAAGAAGCAAATGACATCTTTACCTGGGGTAGAGCTGGAGCACACACAGGTGACCTTTTGTAGCCGAGCAGTTGGGTGTGGTGGCCACACTGTTAGATCCCGGCAGCACTCTGGAGGTGAGGCGGGAGGATTATGGAAGCAGTCTGGCTCATAAAGAGAGTTCTAGGCTAGCACAGGTCACACCCAACAGCCAAATTACCCTGGTTGCCTTTAACTGTTAGCTTGACCAGCCATCTGAGGCTGGGTGGAGGAATTGCCTGGATCAGACTGGCCCGTGTAGGTTATTAATTGATGCAGGAGACCCAGGCCACTCTGGGCGGCACCATTCCCTGGGCAGGGTTGTGTAAGAAGGCTAGCTGAGGAGAAGTCTCGAGATGATGTTCAGAAATGGCAAGGGGAAGGAAAAGAAGGAAGAACAGGGCATCAGCCTTGGACCTCAGGTGGCTGGAGGAGAGAATGTTTGGTGTCTGCCACATTTTTGCGTCCTTCAACGACACCTTTGTCCATGCTACCGATCTTTCTGGCAAGGAAACCATCTGCCGGGTGGCTGGTGGAATGAAGGTTAAGGCTGACAGAGATGAGTCTTCTCCATATGCAGCAATGTCGGCTGCCCAGGATGTTGCCCAGAGGTGCAAGGAGCTGGGCATCAATGCCCTGCATATCAAACGCCGAACTACTGGAGGAAACAGGACCAGAACCCTGGACCTGGAGCCCAGTTGGCCCTCAGAGCTCTTGTTCGTTCAGGGATGAAGATTGGGTGGATTGAGGATGTCACCCCTATCCCCTCTGACAGCACCCGAAGGAAGGGTGGTCGTCGTGGTCGCCGTCTGTGAACAGGACTTCTCAAATTATTTTCTGTTAATAAATTGCTTTGCATAGGCTAATTTAAAAAAAAAGAAGACTAGCTGAGCGAGCCAGCTAACACCGCCCCCCTGTGCCACTGCCTGAACCCCTGCCGCGGCTTTCCTCAGAGATGGACTGTGATCTTCAAGTGTAAGCCACACAAACTTTCCCTCCCATGGGTCCTCTGTCAGGGTGTTCTATCACGGCAGCCGAGTAAAACTAGAGCATAAACATACCAAAAAAAAGTCTTCTTGAAGGAAGAAGAAAAAAAAATCTTAGACTTCCTCCTTGGTCGCTGGTCATGGGGTGACCGTTGACCAAATCACAATCAGGAAAAGGACGGAGTGCCACCACCGAGGGTGTTAGCAGTGACAGCTGGTGTCAGCCGAGGTTCCAGAGGTTCTTAGTGGTTCTTCGTGTGTGCTGCGGCATTGCCAAGTTTGGGTACAGTGTCTGATCTGAGCCCCGCCCTGCGGGCTGGGGATGTGGCCCAGTCCATAGGGTTCCTGTTTAGCTCGTATGCAGCCCTGAGTTTGAGCCCCGGCGGCCACGTGAACTGGGTGTGGGGTGCAGGCATGTGACCCTGGCACTCCGGAAGTGGAGGCAGGAGAATCTGCAGTTCAAGGTCATCCCTGAGCTGTGGGGAGAGAAAGTCACACTGCTTTCCTGTGGAGACTGGTGGGGTGTTCGCCACAGAGATGAGCTCACTGGGAAACTGAATGAGTTTGAGTTATGCTTGTTTATTCCAGAATGTTCTGTTGCTTCCCAGACGGGGCTAGTGGTGGAGGTAGGGAATCCCATTTTCTCCGTGCTGAAGGACTACCCTTTGCCCTGTTCTGTGTGTGGGGACTGTCGATTTCCTTTTTTTTTTTTTGTATGCCTTATTTTAATTATATAAGCCAAGCTCTTGTATGGCTTTACTTTTACTGCCATTAACCCTGATCCACGTGTCCCTTACCACCACTATCTAGGACACCCATCTTAGGTGCAAATGCAGCATCTGCAACAAAAACTTACAGGTCAGAAACGTAACAAAGTAGTCGTGC